CAGCAGGAAATTTGAGGGGCATTCCAGGACACCCCCAACTCTATGGTACAACTGGCTTAAAATCATAGAGTTTTGCCCTTAAACCAGAGTGTCCCCATATGACATCCCCAGCATGATGATGTCACTTCCAGGTAACATCATCATGTTAGGAAAGTCACGTGGGGATGTGGCTGTTTGGGGGTGGGGTCTCTCCTGCCAACCAGCTGGCTGGCAGTGGGGAGAAACCCTGAAAACTGGGGGAACCACCACCCCGACTTGGGGACTGGCAAGCCTACTCAGCAGTAGGAAAATCCCTTTTCATTGTTGGGAGTGAACCAACCAGACTGAAGGATTCTAACCTGAAACACTTTCAGGTCCATAAGTCCAGGACTTTCTCCACAGGTGGGCTTATCTGATCTCTGAGATGATGATGACACCTATTTTTACTCACTGCTGGTGGAAAGTGCTGCCATGTCACAGCCAACTTATGACACCTCCCTGGGTTTTCAAGGTGAGAGATGAACACAGATGGTTTGCCATTGCCTGCCTCTGTGTAGCAATCCTGGACTTCCTTTGTGGTCTCCCAGCCAAATACTAACTGGGCCAACTCTGTCTGGCTTCTGAGATCAGGCTAGCCTGGACCTTCTAGGTCAGGGCCTTACTCAATAAAGAGTACAAATTGTTGTAGTGTGGACACCCCATAACCAATATTCTGAGAGTTCTGCAGTTATAGCAACTTTCTTGCCGAAGCTAAGCAAGTATGTGTCTGGTCATGTCTTGGACAGGATCCTACACAAGCTGCCTTGAGTTCTGATGGAAGAAAGGTGGGCTATAAATGTAATAAATAAATGGTTAAGTGCATAAATCAACCTGGGTGGTAGGATGAAATCTTGGCTGGCTAGCTTGTGATGCTGATATCTTCTCAAATAACACATTTGAAAACTGAACTTGCCCTGTTCTCACCTATTGTTTTCTTTCACGCACCCCCATATATTTGTTGTGATACTTTGTTCAGTTTCCTTTCGGCTTGGGGGAAGGGAGGGAACTAGCAGAGAAGAGGACAGGCACCTCTGCCTGTGAGGGGGTGTGTGCCTGCACACATATATGCACATTTTGCAGGTGTCCCATAAAACACTAAAAAATGCCTTTTGACAGAGATAACTGCAAAAAAGGCAGGCAGTTATGGCTCGAGCATAGGGGTATTCATGCATCATTAGTTGCACATAATGTATATGCAATGCTTAGGTGCATTATAATCAATTTCTGGCCACAAGCAAAATTTTCAGAATTGAATAAACACATAACCTTGTCCATGTGAGTTAATAACTGTAATGTTGTACAATTCCCTAGAGCACCATGAAAACAGGCACGCTAAAGGCTCACAGATTCCAATGAGAGAGTGAAGTTTCCTTTTAAATCTCTCCAACTGAATCCCTGTGACAAAAGTGCTTAACTTTGGCCAGCTCATGCCTATGGTATTTATAAAGGCTAAAGTTGGTGCAAAATTCCCTTCAATGCAGCATGTCATGATGAGATTAATTATGTCTCACTGCCTTTTACCACGTCCTTCTTTTTACCTATGGACTCTCTTTACTACTTCAACCTGATAATGTTCAGTATCCTCTCCAAATATTCCCTCATCTTAGGGACTTTCATAACCCCTCAAACACCTAACCACAAAGTAGTCCTCCTACAGACTTGATAACGAATATATTATTCTTCCATTCCAGCTTCCATGAAAGGTTGCTCGTAATCCCTTTGGTCTTTTCATTTCCCCATATACATTTTCTGTATGCTTTTGGCATATGTCAGGAATGGAGGAAGGAAAAGTGAAATTTAAGTAGTTCAGTTATGCATGCTATTAAAAAATGTCATTGTTGCTTGAGCCATCACAAGATTCCTTTTCACAACAGGCCAAAACAATGCAGCGTAGGCTCTGAACATCAAACAGCTCTCATTTTGTTACCGTAGGGTGTGCTTGAAAACCATCGAGCGTCAGACATATGCATATTATGCTTCTTTTCCAGAGCCATTTGTGTCTCTAGTGCTGTATTTTGCAACATAAGGATTTAGTAAAATGTTTGAGTAGAAATGAAGTGGACAACAGGAGTCCCTTGGTACAATTGAAAAGGAATGGCTATGAACTTGGTATCATTGATGAAATGGGCTTTCACCATCTGTGATAGGGGTGCCAGCTCCCAGGTCCAAGCAGGGCTTCCCCTGCTTCTGGGGGCTTCAATCCACCTCCACCCCTAACCCAAGCCCCGCCCCCCAAGAGTGACAACCCCCGGCCACCCCTCTCCCTCCCCTCCTGCCCAATTTAAAGGGCTTCAACTGATCAGCAGGGACCATGTGGGAGGGAGAGGGGTGGTTTGGCAGGTGGTCACGTTTGGGGGGCATCCTCACCCATCCCCCATCTCCCGCTGGAGCGACGAGGGGACCTGGCAACCCTAATCTGTGACTGGAACACACTGATTGCCTCCTAACAGGTTACCTTATTTCTATGCACTACAGAAGTGAATGACAAGGTTTTAGACTCCAGCTTTTCCTGAATGGTTTACCACCTCTCCTAAGCACTACATCCAGTTCTTCCACCCTCTCCTTTCTGCCTTCCTTCTATACATCCCACTCTTCACCTTTTCCTGTGGTATCTGCGTGTAATGGAATTTGGGTGACATTGGTGGTTTAAGTTGCAATGTGAACCTTAAGGGAGTTATGGGATGGTTGTGAATGGTTGTCTGAGTGTATATGAGTATGGTTGTAGATCACCGAATGATTGCATCTTAATTTCGTTGTACTATGTACAATGACAAAGTATATTATTATTATTATTATTATTATTATTATTATTATTATTATTATTATGCCTTCAACCACCACAAAGATTGGAACGATAACTCACAATGATCAGGAGAATGAAATAGATGAAGTTGTAGAAGGAATGGGCATCCATAACGAAGTACATGATATCTACCCAGCCCTCTAGGGTGATGACCTAGGATAAAGAGGGGAGAAAAAAGAAGTTATTGGTTTACTTGGTATACATAAGGCTGTCAAGGATAGGAAGCACAAGACTGTTTCTGTGGACACCCAAGAAGATACAACAATAGTATTTGTTGTTCAAGCCCAGGCTTCCCCAATTCAGCACCTGCCAGTGCTTCCCTTAATGACTGCCAAGCTTTTCAGAAAATGGGTGGGACACTGTAAGGCAGAGCTTATTGGCTACCCTCATTCAAATGAAGGGTAGGATCAGAGAATGAATGGAAGATCAGGAAGACTGGTAAGGACCTCAGCTTTACTTAGTGTGTAGTTCCATTCCCCTTTCAGGATTTCGTTCTTTCCAGGAGGTATGAAGAGGGAGAATTCCTTTGGATTCCACCTCCTGTGGCAGCCTATTTGGGTTTGGCTCCACCTCCCGTGGCAGTCATTTTGGGATGGTACTCACCACCACTCTCAAAGTTCCAAAGGTGCCCCAGGTTCAAAAAGGCTATGGACCCCTGTTCAAGGCCACATGCTCGATCTATTAAGATAAAGGCTAAGAAATAATAATACATCGTCACAACCTCAGAAACTGAGGCTGGACAAAACCCCATTTCTTGCAAGTTCTGTACTTATGCATCCTACACTTTAGCCAGAACCACATGGCGGTGGGGAGATCAGTTGGTGCTAGTCAATATTCTTTTTTAACCACTGAATCATTCTTCCCCTTCTACCAAAACTAGGCATTTAAGGACAAAAGGAAATTTTGACCCCGCTTTTTCTTTTACTGAGATTATTTTCCAGTCACTTTGTTTACCTGAAATATTGCAATCCACGCATAGCCAATGTTATCAAAATTGATTGCTCCTTTGAAAGGGTTGTGCTCCCCAGCAGAACAGTTTGTGTAATACTGGTTCCAATTTACACAAGAGGTGTTAGTGGTGTCATTGTAGGAATAATAGTTTAGTGTACATTCCAGGCCTTCTTCCCTCCGTGTTGGGATGCTACGGCAGTAACGCATTCCATTCTCTCGAGGCTGAGAGCAGATGAAAGGGCTTTCGTCTTCATTCTCGGTCTGGTAATAGGGTTCCAGCTCAACTGTGTAAGGGCTTAAGCAGACAAGTGCTCGTTATAAAAAAAAAGATCATGGAGGCAATGAAGGAAGTGAATGTAGAACTTTACTTTTTTGGTAACTCAAGAATGACTCCCAATGTCATTAGCAGGCAGCAAACTGAAAGCAAAAGTATTCATTCATGGTATTAATAGGCAATATGTGGAACTCCTAGACCTGAGATGTTACAAAGACCAATAGGATAACTGGGTTCAGAAAATGCAATTAGACAAATTAACTGAAGATAAGAACACTTTAACTGCCTTGGACTGTAATTTTATTTTTCAGACATCTCTAAACTCTTGATGTTTTGAAGTGGCAGATGAATGTCAGACAATGTATCAGTCCAAAATGGATCTTCTCCTGGAATACCCTCCTCTAAACCACCAGGAACTGGCCCATAATCAGAGACTGGATATTAGGATAGGTGGATAGATCACTAACTCTGGCATAACAATGGTGATGATGGTGATAATGTTATTGTGGGCTGCGTATATCAATGAAAGGCCATTTACCAAGGTAATTAAAATTTCTGAACATGTCACAATGACACTGGATTATTCTTTTGAAAGAAAATGGAATCTTAAAAATCTTTGGTGCCTAATTCCTTACCATGGGTAAGTTTCAAACAAGAAATACCAAGAGTCACAATCTCTAATGAACTGGTCCTAAGAACTCAAAATGAATGTGCCAATAGAGGATATGTTCAAAACATTCCATGACATCCCAGCATACAAAGTGGAAGAGAAGCAGGTGATAGCCACTTCTACGTCCATTCATGGATCAACAAATTACCTCTACATTGGCAATGCTCTTTAATATAATCACATAGGGATGGGCACAAACCCACAAATGAACCCTGGTTTGAGCACAAACCAGGCCACATTTTTCATGGAGGTTCTTGAGGTTCATGGGAGATGCATTCTTGAGGTCCAAAGGCATTTAAATGCCTTCAGAGCTTACTTCCAGATCTGGTGGCCCACCCGGAAGTGAGCTCTGAAGGCATTTAAATGCTGTTGGAGCCCACCACTTGGTCCCCACCTGAGTAAGCTCTGAAGGCATTTAAACGCCTTCGGAGCTTACTTCCAAGTCAGGCCACCCACAGGAATGGAGCTCCTTTGGAGCTCACCTCTGGTTGGGTGGCCTGACTGGGAAGTGAGCTCTGAATCCCTTCAGAGCTCACTTTCAGGTGAACTAAACTCCCTGAACCATGAACCAGTTCATGCAGTGGAGGAGTTCGTTGGAGGTTCGTGGTTCATGAAAACCCTGAACCTCCAACAAACCTCCATTTTCCCGGTTTGTGCCCACAACCTATTTATATGAGGTCTCTTATTTTGTACTGAAAGCTAAAAGCCAGTCAATTAAGGTCATCTTTACCTAGGATTAGATTATGCACATGACTAGTTTAAACTGACCCACCTATGGTCTTTCCCCAGCCTTCAATTTTTTAAATATGAATTATGAATATATTTATACAAATAAAAATATTTTAAAGGATTAGGGTTTTTTATTTCAGATCGGAGGAGCCAGCCACTCCAGTGATAATGAGACTGTCTTTGAGTAATACTTTGCTTTGTAAATATGTCCCTTTATGTGGCAGACCCCACTTGTGTTTCCCAGTTTCGGTCTTTTAAAAAAAGAGAGAGAGAATTCCTTCATAAAATGCTATTGGAATAAGCCAGGTCAGATATGGTAAAGGAAGTGGGGGCTGAAATCAACGTCTTCTTTCCTCAATAAATGGCCTTCCCATATGCTACCTGGTAAAGCTTTCAAGCTGTGTTTAAGACTAGTTCAGCCCAGTTAATTCCTGAAGTATTGGTTTTAATACCATCCAAAGCTTAGCTAAAACCCTGGTATTCTAGTCTAATTAAACAGCACTTAGATTGGTAGCTGCATTGGATCTACTCAGAACTGATCATCAGTTCACCTACTTCATTGCCAATTTACCTATAGAAATTTTCCAAGTTATTGAAATCCAAGCTAACTTTGCAGAGAGGGGGAAACCTAACCAGAGAAGAGATGTGAACCTTTGGGAGTCAAAGGAAGAAGAAAAAAATACAAAAACAACCCTGGTTTCTTACTGAAGGCTGTTTCTGACCTTTTTAATTCTACTCACATCTTAAAACATGGACTGGAGAGAAAATTGCTCAACATCAGAGGTCATTTCGGGGGGGAACGCGGGGGAACGCAGTTCCCCCGGGTGAGGTACAGGGGGACGGGGCACATGACGAAGCCCCGCCCCCCGCTTCCAGCCGCCCGGCTTCCGGCCCTCATTCAGCCAGGAAAAGGCAGGAGAAGAGGGAGGGTAAGTTGCTTCCTCCCTGCCTCTCCCCACCCCTGCCTGCCTGGGGCCAGGGAGGGCCTTCGCGGGGCTTCCTTGCACTCCCGCCGGCCTTGCAGGTCCACCGCCGGGCCCCTCATGGGGCTCGGCAGTGGAGCTGCAAGGCCGGCACCGGCGGCCGGGACCGTTGGGGGCGGGGTGTGTGGCCTTATGACACACTTCCGGTGATGTCAGGGGTGTGGCCTTATGACACACTTCGGGTGATGTCAGGGGGTGTGGCATATACTAATGAGTTATGCTAATGAGTTCCCCTAGCTCTTTTTCTATGAAATGACCCCTGCTCAACATGCTCACATTCTGGAAGGTCTGTGCTGATGTCCTGTGTGTGGTGAACAGGATGTGTGTTCAGACCTCTTTGGAAAGTCCAGATGCTACCAAGATGCTCCATATTGGCTGGTTTCCCCTCTCCATTCTCTACTTGCATCTTTATTATATTGAAAGCAGCCTTGGGATTAATTTAGTGAGATAATGACCACAATCCAAAGAAAACTTAGACATGCTTCAGTAACATTGAAATCAAAGAGAATAAAGCATGACTGTTTTTGGATTGGCCCAATGTATGCCAGTCTCTTTGAATTCAAGATGCTCAAGCAATATATATAGTGCTATATTTAATTATTTTAATTAACTTTACTGGTTTTATAGATTTTTTTTAAGTTAATGTATTTTTGTCAATCCAATTAACACTAACAAAGTTTAATTCTGAGTATAAACTTTCATGTGCATGCACACTTCTTTAGATACTTCTGAAGAAGTGTGCATGCACATGAAAGTTTATACTCAGAATTAAACTTTGTTGGTCTCAAAGGTGCCACTGGACTCAAACTTTGTTCTCTTGCTTCAAACCAACATGGCTACCCACCTGAATCAACTAACACTTGTACTTTACACAGCTGATTGAGAATGTGATTAGTAAAAATCTTTCAAAAAATTGGATAGAGTGTGCTGTGATGCCTGAGAGCAGAAAATGGTTAGGGAGGTATTTTGGCACTGGAGAAAGGGAGGAGAATGAATAATAAGTCATTGCACTGCTAACTGTGCTGATGCAGGCTTCTGTCTTGACCAAAGATCCTGCCAGGGCCTCTAGGGAAGCTCTTTATGGGTGGGGGACCTGCGAAGACATGTGGGAGGCATCTCATTTCCTCCCCCCCACTGTTTCCTCTTTACCTTCCCTGAGAGCCCCCAAGTGGCTCCCCTTTTCCTGCTTCCTTCTCTCCTTCCCACCTATCTGCCCCCCCATCTTCAGCTTTGCTTCCTTCCCTCACCCTGGCAGCCTCTCCTACAGTGAATTCTGGCTGAGTTTTGTGGTACCAGTCACCAGGACAGGCCTCATTGCACAGTACTTGTGGAGGGCACCTCATTTTCTCCTGTACTCTCTAACACTTAAATCCTCTTACCAGGGCCAGTTTGTCCATAGAGGCAAGGTTAGGCAGTTGCCTTAGGGCGCCACCTTCAGGGGACGCCACTGGCCTACCGATATGGATGCACACTGGCCCTGCTCGCTGGCTGACTCTCCCAGTGGCTCTGTCTGACTGTCCATCCTCCACCCCTGAGAGCATGTGCTGCGATGGAATGGAGAAAGAGAGCCCAGTGGCCACAAGGCACCTAGCAGCTGCTACCTCTGCTCCCAAGGAAACTCCAGCAAGGTCCTGGAGGGGCGGGAAGGCAACAGTGGGGTTTCAGGGCCACCCAACAATGTCTACAGCACAATGGAGGCAGGGCACCCCCTGGCGCCTTTGTCACCCACCCCCTGCTGCCACACTGAGGCGGTTGATGCGACGCCATTGGTGGCCTATCCTTGCTTGGCACTGTGAGGCGAGAGAGGTGGCCAGCCATGTCCAATCACACCTAAGCAACAAAGGTTGGAAGGAAGTCCAGCGGGTTCCCTTCCTTGCTTTCCAGCAGGACCCCAACCCCTACTGAGGGCCACCGCCCGCCCTTTCCTTGGACCCGCGCCGGACTATCTGGACACCTACAAGCGGGCCCAGTTGAAGGTGCTGATGTTGCAGGTCAGCCCAGGCCTCGGCTGCAGCTCCGCAAAGCCACCACCACCAAAGAGGTGGGCACCCAAGTGAACCCATGGGTTGACACCGCCATGCAATACTCATTCAGCTCCCACCCGCTCCAGGCCATCCGGCCCCAGAGCCCTTTGGCTCGCCGTGCTGCCTCTTCACTTTGCCATGCTGCCTCTTCACTTTGCCAGAAGCAGTGGTGGAACCCCAAGAGCAGGACAAAGCTCCCACTTCATACCCGCTCGCCGAGGAAGAGCCTGAGGAGAAGGCAGTGTGGGAGACGGGGAATAGGGCCAAGGGAGAAGAGCGGCCGGAAGAGGGCCAAGATGAAGAATCCGCCGTGAAAGGCAGCTACGGCGGAGGAGAAGGCAAAGTAGTCTCATGCCAGTTCCCGCCCCCAAATCCAGCACATCTCATGTAGGGTTGCTGGCAACTTGCTGCTGCCTTTCCCCTGACAGGAAGAAATTCAACAGAAAAATGGCAGACCAGGTAGGGGCTTTTACATGCTAAGACATTCCCCACTCTCAGGTATATGCCAAAAATACTTTTAAAAAGTTAAACCGATTCCAAACTGGAACATGTTAATAGCCTTCCAGAATACATTAAGTGTTAAAAGTAATTAAGTATGGATGGGGGTTGTTTTTA